TGTTGCGAATTTGGAGTTCGTATTGCGGATTTGTTGGTCATTTTTGCAAATCTAAAAAAAGTTAGTTAAAATCGTATTATAAGACATTTTCAATCACTGAAGTTATTTTCTCTAAAATATGTTTTATGGTTTGTACAAATATGAATTAAGCGACGATAATGACGTATGTACACGAGCATTTTCAATTATATTTTTTTTACAATTTTTAAATAGTCTCATTCAAAATTTTAATTATATTTAAAAAGAAAAAGAAAACTATGAGCTATCTTTTGTAAATGTCACACGACAGACATTGGACATATGACAAAAAAGGCCATTAGGGTTTTGTTGTTGTCGTCTCACGACGACAATGACCCTTCCCTTTGCTTTTACATTTGCCTAAGAAATGTAATCAGATCACTCATTCCCATTACTCTCTCTCCACAAAACCAACAAAACAATCCCATGTGTGTATTTTTCCTCTTTATCACTTTCTCCTTCCTGTTTTGTTCTACTCTTCTAGTTTTACTCAGGCACCCTTCTCTCTTTCTCTTACTTTCCTGTTTTGATCCCTGCACTACTTCACTCCGATGCCATCCCATTAGATTCTTTTCTCTTTTTACTTCCTTTTCTCTCTCTCAAAATTAGTGTTTTTAAGCAGTGATTGGCATCAGCTTTTATGATTTATATATCATCTACTTTAATTTTTTTTTGCCTTGCCTCTTCGACAGTAAGTTCTCTCCCTCTCCCTCTCCCTCTCCCTCTCTAAATATATATGATATGTTAACTTAGATCGTATGCAGCATATGCCCTTCAAAGATGAGGGATTGAAGCTCTAATTGACCCCAGGACTCTAGATGCAAGAAAAATTTGTTCTTCATTTCCCTTTTGCATTTGAGCCGACTGTTTTTAAGACCGGACGGGTGGAAGGAAAAAAGCTCCCCCTTCATTGACTTTTGAGTTCGTCTCATATCCTTTCATCACTCATATTCGTATTTGTTAGTTGGCTGAGTTGTTGTTTCCTCGATTTGATGTTTCACACTGCCTGTTTAGCTTATGTAAAGCTAAAAGTTGTCCTTGTTGATGGAGGAACTTAAAAAACAAGTGATTATTTATGAAGCAGTTCTTGTGTATGTCAAAATGCAGCTTTTTGCATCTTCGATTTAAATGTTATTAGGTAAGGTAAGTTAGAGAAATTGGGATGAGAGAGACCTTCCATCAGCCCACTTAAGGATAAGAACAAGGGGGTTGAACTAGCTGCCGACTCATTCATTCAAGCATTCAGTAGAGAATAGATTGCCGGTTCTCCTACTGTGATTGTGTGAATGATGCGGGAGATAGTTTTGCTTCCTCCTTTCTCCGTGCGTGGACTGAAGGGAGCTCCTTCTTTCTCTTTCCCTCATTTAAGTTATACCTACTACCAATGTATATTCTTTCTATTGCTCCCATTAACATATAGAAAAACAAGCTTACCTACATGTCTTAATCAAATTTGCAAATTTCTTTTATGAATGACACATCCATATTTGATGCATCAGATTAACTTGGCTAAATATAGTCGCATTTCTTCTTCTTCTTCTTGGTAGGACTTGGATCATTAATGGCACCAGTGTTGAAAGAGTATATGTATTGTTTATTATGTTACGAAAAGAAAATACTATATTGGTGTTTTTTATAGGAAAAGAAAATCAAGGAGCATAGGCGGGATCAATGATTTAAATTGCGATTGCGATTAATTTTTATGTTATGTTACGTTTATTATGATTATGAACATAACATATATTATTATGATTAATACGATTATCATAATCATGCAATAACAATTTCAAACGGTATCATTATTGTTATAATGAATATTTTTTAATTAATAACATACCATTATTTAAACCCTTGGGCGGGTATATTAGAAGGATAAAGCTCCGTAATCAATTAGCAAGAGAATAGTAAATGCTAGCAGTGTAGGTAAATAGTGGAGTAAATAGTAATATTGATATGTGATGACTACTTTGTGCAGTGCCTCTCTTTCACAAATTTACATTTGCAATTTTCATCAAGACAGTGAATAGTTCGGCGCACGTGTTGGCATGTGTATGTTTGGGGTGCACACCTCGAAATTTGACAACAGGATAGCAGCATGAGCATTGTTAACCAATAGCAGATGAGGTAAAGTAAGTTCAACCAATAGCAGATGAGGTAAAGTAAGTTCGGGGGGAAAAAACTCTTTGATTTCCAAAGTCGCACAAATATCCTGCTTTTATGGCTACTTATGCGTGTTTCAAGTACAGATATTGAGATTATATATAAATAAATACTCTTGAAAGCTCTATAATATATATGATGATGGTTTTGGTTACCGAGAAGTAAAGTACATTTAGAACCCATATTATTTTCTCTTCGGCTGCAACTGGCAGTGTTTAGACATAGAAATGGCATTATTTTATGAAGTTGAACTGACGCTCGTTTAATTAAATAACTAATCACCAATTGGTTGCCCTTTTTGTATCTGAACTTGATGGATTTTGAAGATACTATTTTTTTATCCATTTTATTAATATTATTATTAAATTATATTATCATTATTAATATTATTATCATTATATTTTTATTTTATTATATTATTTTTTTTATTATTAATATATTAAATACAAACCAATTACAATTAAACCGGCTCAGTTACAAACCAACTGAAACCGGTCCAAATCCAACTGGAAACCCTAAATATTGGGTTCCAGTTAGGGTTTCCTACCCTAATCATCCTCAGCCGCCTCATCAAACCGTTGGATCTGGCAACGATCCAACGGTCCACATGGCTCCAGAGAGGAACCCTAGGGTTTGATACCCTAGGGCCACGCGGCGCCGCCCCAGCTTCCACGCGCTGCCGACAGTCTTCTCGCCGCCTCCCGCCGCTGCCACGTCCCGAATGAAGGCTCCAGAAGACAGAATACCGTCCATGCCATGGCTACTCGTGAGTCACCACTGGTAGTCCGGTGACTCACCGAGGCCCCCTCTTCGACCGGTCCGAGACGAACACCGGTGGTGGCTATAAAAGCCACCACCCACCTGAAAAAAAAAGAAAGAGACAGAGACAGAAACAGAACCGAGAGAAAAAAGAAAAAACAGAGAAAAGAAAAAAAACAACAACTATACCAACGATCTCAGCAGCAAAGAATCAGAAGAAAAAAAAAAGAAAAGGAAGAAGAGACTTACCGAGGAGCGTCGACCACCGGATCTCTCGTCAGAACCTTCGAACTCGAAGGTATTATTTTAGATTTGCTCCGATTGGGAGCAGTTTAAGGGGGAAAAACGTCGGAACCGTCATTAGGACGGTCCGATCTACGCTTAGATGAAAGAAAAATTTTCCGGCCACCAAAGACGGTGGCCGGCGGCGGTGGTGACGGCGAATGAACGCCGGTTAACGACGGCCGGCTGGGCTTCTCTCTGTGTTAGAGAGAAGCGAGAGAAAATTTCTCTCTCTCAGAGAAGAGAGAGAGAAGGAAGAATGAAATGAATGGCTGGCCCTTCGGGCCAGCCATTTGGACTTTTATAGTCCTTCCCAAACGACGTCGTTTTGGGAAGGACTATACGCGTAATTTTGAAATAATTAAACCCTGTCCGCAGTCCCTTGTATTTGTAAATTTTACATTTTGGTCACTAACTGAATTATAATTTTTAATTTAGTCTTTGAATTTTAATTTTATTCATTTTAGTCCTTTTTATTAAATAATATATTTAGGATAAATGACAGATTCAATCCCTTAATTTTAATAATTATTTTTTTATCCCTAGTTCATATTTTAATTTATTCTATTATAAATTTAAATTTTAAATACTTCCTTTTGGTCACTAAATTATTAAATAAAAAATAAAATAATTAAACCCTATAATTTCAATTAATTAGTAATTAGTAATTAGTTTTATTTTATAATTTAGTTATTAATTTTATGTCTTCATTTTTTTATTGTTTTTAAATATATTGTTTAATAGAATTATTCTTTTATTATATTGTTAAATATTTTGATATATATCATAAATATATATAATATATTAACTTTAAATATTTATTTTAATATCGAAGAAAAAGGACAGTCTTAATACAACTGGATGTCCTATTCTGATGTTTTAAAATTAAACAATATTATTAAATTAATATTTATCAATATCAAAGAAAAGAGCTGCTTAAGGCACCTAGAAGTTCTTTTCGGATATTTTAAATAAATAAATATTTTTTTACAATTTTAAAATTATAAGATTAAATTAAATATATTTTTGAATTTTTAAATTTTAAATAATAGAGATGATTTCATGGACGAGTTCGACAAAGAAGGTTATCTTGTATGTTAGAGCGCTTACGGAAAATTCAAAAATAAGGAGGTATATAATAATAATTCGAAGATGATAAAAGGTGATCAAAGTTCTTAAGATGAACTAACGAGTGTATGCAAAAAATCCTCGTTGAAGACTTATTCATCAAAGCAAAATGTGTAACGTGGGTCGCTCCGAATTTAATTAGAGCAGATCCTTGGAATCGGAGGGTAAAAAAAACCAATTGATAGAATTTTATACATCGAGGATTTATGGAATTATTTTTAATTAAGATAAATTTGATGAAATATGTATGTTTTGAGGGCTAAAACTGTTATTATATCATGCTAATGTCATTTCCGTTAAGTCAACGATCAAACTAATGATAGTTGATAAAAAGAACGAAACATCATGTTAACATAAATTTATAAAAAATTTAAATGATTAAAATAGAAAAACAAAATAGATGAATGACCAAACTGGTAGTTTACCTTAAAATTATGGACAAAGCTAACTACCGGTTGAAATGGGCGGTCAACCCTTCAATTTTTTATCCGATCCGATCAGCTCAGGATCTCCTTCTATCTCTAGCTGACTTCCCTGTATCTGTCCCTCCTCTTGCTCGCTGTCTGCGGCCAACACCGCTGCAAGCCAACTGAAATTTCGTCTTTCATGGTGGTTCCGAACTGTTTTCTCTTTCAAGATTTACAAAGAGCAAAATGGACTCGATTATCTCCTCAGCTCTTGAAGAAACTGCTTCCACGGCAAGTAGGTATTTATTTTTCCTCGCTCTGCTCCAAAATCGTATCCACTTTCTCTAAAACCCTCCTTTGGAAAAATCTCCTCTCCATCCCCGTTCTACGTTCAAGGCTCCAAACGCCGAGGTTTCTTAACCCTACCGATGCCTCTATTCAATGTTCTGAAGTTGCGGAGAAGCTCAATATAATCTTGCTCATGAAACGCTTAGAATAATTTTGTTGGACTTTACGATGAAATGTTCAATCTCCTCTCAACAACGTCGCACTCTCGAGAGATTGCTATTGCTAGGTTTGTCTTTCTAATTTCCCCTTTGGAATCTTTCAAGTAACTTGTGTTTCTATGTTTCTAGAGATGACTTTAAAAGATTAGGTTTGCATTCGATCAGTTATGCAGATTTTTAGAATAAATGCACATGCCATGCATAAATTACTTTGCATTTGACATGCCCTCATATTGCAAAGGTATAGTAGAACATATGAATTTCAAATTCTAATTTTTTTTCATTCACCATTCAATTGGCATCATCATGGAGGTAATTTTGAAGGTATTGTTTATATTTGTCTCATTACACGATATATGCTAAATTCAAATCTAAATACTTCCTCTCAAATGCAAGTTCTCAAGGTACTATAATTTTGAAAATGGTGGGTTTAAGAGACCTTGTATTTGATTGTCTTGGTCAAACTAATAATTAATCCGATTAATCACCATGGAATTCAAAATTCAGTGTATTGCAACTATTTACACCCTTTTAACTATAGCTACGTTATCTGATTGTTAAAGTATACAACTTGAAGTGAATTTGTCCTTTTATTTTTATGTGAGGCTCAGTAGTCCTAATTGATTTTGGATTAATGGGTAGAAAATTGATGGAAAGGGAAAGCTAATGAATACCTGCTGGAATTAGATAGACAATATAATTGCCATAGACTCCAGAAAGTATTTTTGCATTAGGGTTTAGATATTGCAGTTAAAGAATATCGGTACGTGTAATTTGGTTGGCAGACAAATGGGTGACACAAAGTCAACTTGCAAAGGAATTTGGTATTGAAGGGAAGAACTTCTTTTACATATTAAAGAACCTTGAATGCAGAGGTTGATTCTGAAGCACCCAGCAGTAGTTAGGAAGAAAGAACATTGCAGTGAAGGGGAATTCAAAGACAGTTCACAGTGGTCACGAATTTAATATACTTACATAGATACGCAAAGCGTTGGGCTCTCAACAGAGGTTTGAGATTAATAAAGAAAAACAAACAGTTGAAAATTTTGGGTATGATGATGAAAATGTTCCAGACGACGATGGTTTTGCTTTAGAAAATGCGAAAGATAATGTTCTTGTGAATGATTATCTACCTGCAATGAAAGCTGTTTGTGATAAACTAGAAGCGCAATGGAAAGGTCAATTATATTCAGAATGTTGTTAGATTCATGGATTTGATGTTATGCCATTATGCTGATTTCCTTCTATTGAAGGTTCTTGTTGTCTCAGATATTAAACGAGACTTAGGTTATACAAGATCCTCTGGTCATAAAGCCTGGAGAAATGTAAGACTGCTATATTCACTTTTTTTTTTTGGGTGGGGTGGGGTGGTTCATTTTAATTTTTACCTAGTCCACAATTTTTTTGAACAATCTTTTGAATTGTTGTCTGCCTCATACCATATATTGCATGTATATATGTTCTTAGATCTACCGCAGGTTAAAAGATGCTGGTCTTGTTGAAGAATTGCATGCTGTTGTGAATGAAAAGGTGATGTAAATATATAGTTCTTAATTCATGCTTTTGCAAGATTCCACATTTATTTTTTTAAACCTTTTATTCCAGTTTATGTCTTTAACATGTGTAATTTATTTTAACCTTCTATAATTGTGTAACTATTGAATAGTTAATATATATATTTTTTTGATATATAAGATTTAAGAAAACTAAGTTTTCAAGATTGTGCATCTTTAATGAAGATCGATTTCTTCCTTTGACACACAATATATGATCCTTTATGAAGTTAGTGCAACTCTTTGGTCGTTCTTTGAGGCTTGTAATGTCAATATAGAAGCTTGCAATCAATCATATGACATAAGATCATGCAAACATTCTAGATATATGGAAATGGCCAAATATACACTAAGTGAGTATCTGTGTTCTGATATGTTCCTATGTTCTTAGGCTGAGATTTGCCTAAGGTTGGTGAAGAGGTTTCCTGAAAAGAATTTAGAGCCAAATCTTCTTGGATGTGATGATCATCTTGACAAAGGACAACAGTTGAAGTTTGGAAGGTCAGTTCTGAATGTTGATCAGATTGTAGAGCTTCCCATTGATAATCAAATTTATGATATGGTTGATGCTGAAGGATCTGAGGGTTGCCATCATGATGGTGCGTATATATTTTCTTGACTTTGCTGTGTTATAATTTGTTGATCTTAATGGCTATGATGTGTTTCGATTTATATTTCCTCAATAATTTCTTAAATTGCAGACTAGGTCTTAAAATCTAATTAAGGCCTTTAGATACTTACTAATCATGCATTAACAAAATTGGAATGCAGTTTGAGTATGTACTGCATGGTGTTAATGAAGTAAAAAATGCACAAGCAAGCTGTTTGTTCCGTAAGGAATTACCAATTCTTACAAGTGTTCTTTTTCCATTAGTTGAAGATTCACTTGAATTTATGGTTACCATCTAAGACTCTTCCATTAGGGATGGTGATATATGTGAGATTGAGAGAATAGAAAAGAAGGAAAAGAAATTTTGTAATCGAAATTCTCATTGAAAAAAAGCATGTATTTATAGGCTATGGATTACAAGTTAGAGTTTTACTAGGTTTCCTTTCTTCCTAACTTTGATCTTTTAAGAAATTTGATCCTAATAGTATAATATAGATAAATTATAAATAAATTAAACTTTATATCCTAAAATAAATTAAACTTGCAAGTAAATAAAATTCTTAATTGTCAACAACTTCTACACTCCCTCTCAAGTTGGGTTGGGTGTATATGTTATACAAACTCAACTTGAACTTCAATCTATGTTGGTACTTGGAAGGGCTTTAGTAAGAATGTCTGCAAGTTAACGTTGGGGGCAGTCAGTGGGGACGGGCTGTTGGGGGGAATTTTAAGAGATTCGGAAAGTAAAATTCTAGGGTCTTTCTCGAATGCTGTTGGTCCAGGTCCTCCTCCACTCGTTGAGCTGAAAGCCATTGACTTTTTTCTTTGTCGGAGTGGGCGATGAAGGGAAGGTTAATATAGAGAGTGATTGTAAATCAGTAGTGGATTGGATTTTGCTGCTGTCTACATCGCCTCATTTTTTAGTTCGATGATTCAGAAAATTGTTTCCCTAATCTCGGAGAGGGAGATTATTGTTAGACACATACCGAGGAGCTTTATTTTTGTTGCTTTAGAGGTTTTCAGTAGGGTTATGGTGGCCTATTGAGATTGTTGGGGCTGAGCTAGTTTTGTTGTTTAAGGGGTCTGGTCGTATGGTGGTTTGTTTATATTCTGTATTTTAAGTTCTGTTAGTTTGTCTTATGGTTGTATTTATGTACTTTGCTTGTAATAAAATCCTAAGGCACTTTTTCCTCATTCTGGATTAAGAAGCTTTCCTAAAGATCCATTAATCAAGAAGGGGTTTTAATGAGGCCTGGAATTCTTATAAAAAAAAAAGAATGTCTGCAAGTTGCATTTGAGTAGGAATGTAGCTCATCTTATTACTTCTCTGAAATAAGGTGACTGTCAATCTCCCCATACTTTATTTTGTCATGATGAACAAGATTTTTGACAATGCTTATGGCTGATTGATTGTCATTTTTCACCTTGAAATAAACCTTAAAATCAACCTTTAATTCTTTTAGTAGTCTCTAAATCCATATTCCTTCAAATTCCTGAGGTAAAAGCTCAAAATTCAATCTCTGCACAGCTTCTTGAAACCATAGACTGCTTTGATTCTTCAGTAACAAGATTATCCCGAACAATGGAGCAAAAACCACTTGTAGTTCTTTCGGTTTAACTCTCAAACCCTTGCATCAGTGTATACTTCTACCTCATGGGTTTCACTTTTTAAAGAGTAACCATGGCCTAGTGTCATCTTTACGTATCTTAGAATTCGGTTTACAACCTCTAGATGTCTTGGAATCATTCATAATATAGTTGACAATACTCAATGAAATACAATATTGGTTTTGTACTTGAAAGATAAATTAGCTTACCAATAATCTTTGGTATTGTTTTTGTCAATTGGCAGTCCTTCATTCTTTAATTTAGATGAGGATTCGTAGGAGTTTTTGTTTGTTTGCAAGCATTCCGGTCTCAATTAACAAGTCCATGATATACTTCTTTGAGAGATCACAATTCATGCTTTAGATTGAGCAACCTCCATCCTTAGGAAGTATTTGAGAGCACCAAGGTCTTTGATTTAAAAGTCAGCAGCAGTCGACCTTTAGCTGATGATTTCTTCTATTCATCTCATGTTATATATCATCAGCATAGACAATAAGAATGATTACTTGTGACGAGTTTTCACGAATAAGGTGATATACTTATCAATGGATCGTGGATTGATGGGGGGAAAGTCTCAGTCCGTGTTGAGAAGTATCAGAAAGTTTGAAAGGAAGCAGTTGTTGCAGGTAAAGTCTCTGCAGAAGCTAAACAGTCTTCTGACGGTGGAATGAGGAAGAATAGAGGGAGATGAGTCTCCGAAGAGTATAAAGGATGATAGATCATACAAAGAGGCAGTGGTATCGGAGAAGAGATTGAGGGCGGAACTTGAAACTTTGGAGAACAGAGAAGATAATCTGCAAGCTGCAACAAGGAAGAGGAACTTATGGAGATGTGTATCCCTTCGGAGAGACCAACTGGATGAAATGTTCTTTAACAGGGATCATTAAAGCATCCATTAGTCTGGAATTGGTGCAAAAGGCTTTGTCTAGTGATGGAATCGAAGCTAAGGTGGGGTTGTGCATGGAACTCGTGTATTATCACCTTCAAATCGGTGGAGGAGCTATCGGAGTCGTGGAACAACTAATGTTTTTCTGGTTTGATTGGTTGGCTCCACTTCTGAATGAAGATGAGTTCCAATGGCGTACTGCTCGATTGAACTTCATGGAGTTCCCTTATATGTTGGGATGAGGCTTCTTAGAGGCTGGTTGGAAGGTAGGGATTAGGCTGAGCGAAACCGAGAAAACCGAAAAACCGACGAACCGAGTAAACGGTTCGGTTCGGTTTCGGTTCGGTTTAAAGGCTTCATTTTTTTGATTCGGTTCGGTTCGGGTTTTCCATATGGAACCCATTGTTCCATATTGAACCGAATAGCAATTTTTGTAAAAAAAATTATAGTTTCAAGTGATTTTTTTATTGAAAAACCAAACCAAACCGACCGAACCGAAAAACCCGAACCGTTAAAAAAACCGAATACACCCTAGTAGGGATCATTGGTGTGTATTCAAGAGTCGACCAATAATAGAGAGGATTTGTCGGCTGCGAGATTAGTGAGAATTGCAAGTCCATTTGACGTTCCGAGATGGATTACAGTAGGTTCATATGAGAGATCCTTTAAGGTAAGGATTAAGTTGGGTTCGGTATTTACAATGCCGAGATACCTTCTAGTGGACTCGTCTGAGGAGGATCAAAATGGTGGTTGCTTAGCGGTGTTAGCTGAGGGAGATGAACAGTCAAATGAGGAATCATTAAACAGGGTGATTTCGTGGCTAGAAGATGGAAAGACAGGTGGCACTTTAGGGCAGGGCTGAGTCGACAATCATTGCGGTCGGGAAAAGAGAATGAGTGCATTAATGATGGGGAAACAAATTGCCTCGAGCCTAGGAGAGTTTTAATAGGGGAATATGCGGGTCTTGGATTGAGGGAAGATGTGAGCTCGTTTCCTGAGTAGGCCCAATCAGAGGGAAATAAAGAGCTCACTTGCCTTTCATTAGAATTCATCTTGTAGGGCCATCAATTAACATAGCCTAATATGCGTATGGGAAGGAGGTTGAAAGAGAGCCTAGGGTGTAAACGAGTCGAGTCGAGCTGGAGTATTGCTGAGCTCCACTTGACTCGAAAACTCTGAAATGGAGCTCGACTCGACTCGAAAACTTGCGAGCTTAAAATTTTCAAGCTCGACTCAACTCGAAATCTGATTGAAGCTCGTGAGCAGCTCGAAATAAAAAATCTTAAACTTAACTCGATTGAAGCCTCAAACTCGAATCTGAACCTTAAATACATGAAAATTTATTGTTTTTTAAAAAAAATCAACACATAAATTTTAATATTATTAATAATTTATTTTTTTATAAAAAAATCTTAATATATATTTTCGAGCTGCTCATGAGTTTTTCAAGTCGAGTATCAAGTAGCTCGTTTTGACACTTAAGAACTCAAGCTCAAGTCGAGTGCATTCGATCAGAGTATTTATCGAGCCTTGACCGATTTGATCTCGAGTAGCTCGCGATTTGTCTCGTCTCGTTTATAGCCCTAAAGTGACCCAAACACACTTGGGTGTCGAGGGAGATGGATTGATGGTGTTGAGGAGAGAGATAGTTTACCCAAAAGTAGTGGAAAATGAGCGTTAAAATCAAGTAGTGGTTTGGCTGGGAAGGAAATTGGGTCAAAGATGAAAATAAATCAAACTAGGGATGGCAACCAGATGAGGACTCCACCCCATTTTGATTGTCTTGGTAAGAAGTATAAAAGGGTCAAGAAGAGGTTTTTTGACATAGTTTACTGTAGGCTAGGGAGGAAATCGGATAGAAGTCAATCTGAGGCGGGAGATAATGCTACAATTACAAGAAGAGGATGAGGAATTAAACTCCACTTGGGAGGTAGCAAAATGATGGGTATACTTTTTCGGGAGGAAAAAAAGTGTTTGCAAGGAAGTTCGTAGATTTGAGTAAAGGCAAGGAGGTGGAAGGTGGAAACTAATTTTCCATCTTCGCTGAAGGTGTTGATTCCAGTTATCATGTCAAGTTTTTCATGTATATCGTGAAACATAAGGGCCTGGGGAGGAAAGAAAAGTTAAGTGCAGGGAGGAGTTTGACCTTAAGGAAGAACTAGGCATGTTGTTTTGAGGAAACAAAATTAGAGCTTGTGAATTAGGCTCTGTTAAGAAAGGTAAGGGAGAAAATTAAGGGGTATGTTTCATCTCCTTCAGAAGGGGCTGCAGGAGGTTAATTACTCTTTGGGATGAAAATTGGTTTGAAATGCAGGAACAGTGTATTTTTAGAAGATTCGTGGCAGTGAAGGGCAAAATTAAGGATGGACAAGGGGTTTGCTATTTGTGAACGTGTATGGTCTTGCAGTGGAGGCGAAAAGGAAAGCCTTTTTTGAAGAACTTATAAGTTTCTTAGAACAAATGGATTGCTCGTTATGTGTGGGTGGGGATTTTAATTTGTATCTGTCTGAGGAGGAGAAAGGGAAATCACAGAACTACACAATGAGATTGCTAAAAGAGTTTGTATTTCAGTCCAAGTTAACAGATCTTCCATTATCTGTGGGAGTTATACGTGGAGCAACAATAGGTATTCCCCTCTTTTGTAAAACTAGATAGATTCTTGGGGACTCTAGATTCCTGAATATTTATCCAGACATTGTTCAGGTTCTTCTCCCTAAATCGATATCAGATCATAATGCAATTATGTTGGAAAAGTGCGGTTAATTGGGGTCCGAAACCTTTCAAACTTTTCAATTATGTGATGGAAGCAGACGGTTTTCAGGAGATGATGGAATTAGCTTTGGCAGAGATGAAAAAAGATGAGAGGAGGAAGGGTATTGTGAATATTGAACAATCGAAGAGCGTAATTAGTTGGACTAACAATAATCATCTTTTGTCGGTAGCATTGTAGAGCTAGAGAAGTCCATTTTCGAAATGGAGGCATCTTTACAGCAGGGAGTATTCTGTTTCGTGGGATGCTATTGTGGAAGCTGAGATGGAATTGTGGGCTCTGTGTAAAAAAGAGGAATTAATTTGGTTCCAGAGTCCCGCGCGAAGTGGTTCCATGATGGGGATTGAAATTCCAGATATTTTCATCAATGTGCATCTAATAGGAGGAGAGTAAAAGCACCGAAGTACTTAAAGTAAATGGAGAGCTGGTTTCTGATACAGACCAAATTAAGTCTAGTGTTTTTCATTTTTTCAAAGAGGTCTAACAGGAAGCCAACAGTGGGAGTGAAAGAAATGTTACTTAACTTTGCTAAGCTATCAGAGGAGCAATGTTCTTTATTGGAAAGGAACTTTTCGGAGGAGGAAATTTTGGAAGGCAATCGCATCTTCATATAGCAATAAGGCGCTTGGACTGGACATATTAAATATAGGTTTCTTTAAAGATTTTGGCCGTCTTAAGGACGAAATCTTGAGGTTTTTCTCATTTTTATTTAGGGAAGAGGGGGAGAAAGAGGTGAATCACTCAATTATATCTCTGATACCTAAGAAATCAAATTCGGAAAGCTTGGACTACGACCTATAGTTTGGTTAGAGGCCTTTATAAAATTCTGTCAAAGGTTTTATCAAGAAGATTGAGGAGGAATTGCATTGACTCTCTTATTGGACCTTCTCAATTTGCGTTTGTTCCAGGGAGGTAGATTCTTGACTGATCGTTTATAGCAAATGAGGGGATTATTGGAGGAAAAGTAGCTCAAGGTGTTGCTTTTAAAGTAGATTTTAGAAGAGTATGATTCAGTAGATTGGTCGATTTTGATGAAGATCATAGAATATATGGGGTTTGGGCAGAGGTGGCGATCAAGGATTCTAAAATGCCTATCTTCAGCTTCCATTTCCATCTTGGTTAACGGTTCTCCTACTGATAAATTCAGGATTTCTAGGGGGTTACATCAAGGTTGTTCATTATCACTGTTGTTTAATCTAGTGGGTGAGATGCTAAGCTTGCTGCTATCTAAGGCGGCTAAGAAGGGTCTGTTCAATGGGTTTCAGATTGGCAGCCCAAATAGTCTTTCCCGCTGTCTCGCTTACAGTTTGCCAACGACCTATTAATATTTTGTACTGCTTCGGAAGGTCAGCTGAAAAACGTGAAGAGAAGTTTGACTATTTTTGAATTGTGTTTGGGGCTTCAACTAAATCTTCATAAGAGCAGAATATTCGATATTAATGTTGACAATAATAATATTAAAGAGTGGGCGGCTTTGATTGGCTGTTCGGTTGGCGTTCTTCCAACGGAGTATCTAGGGCTCCCCCTTGGTTCGAAAAAGATTTTGGCATCTTTGTGGGACCCAATAATTAAGAGATTTTACCAGAAATTGGTGGGCTGGAAAGCTAATTCATTGTCTCTTATTGGGAGGGTTGTGTTGGTGAAGTTGTTTTAAGCGCTTTGCCAATTTATTATATGTCGATGTTCAGAATTCCGTCTAAGGTTCTGAGGAAATTAAATTCTATTATGGCAATTTTTTTATGGGGGGATCATCTCAAAAAAATCGTATCCATTGGATTAATTGGTCAACGGTGTGCAAACCTAAAGATAAGGGAGGATTGGGTCTTATTGATTTGAAACTAATGAACAGGGCTCTCCTAAGGAAGTGGGCATGGAAATTTGCTGTTGATAAGGAGTCTTGGTGGAAGAACTTGGTTTGCTGCAAGTATAAATTGGATAACAGAGCCTGGTTGATGGATAATGTTGTGTCCTCTCAATCATCTTGGATTTGGAGGGGAGTGATTAACAATTGCTGGTGGAATGATGCATTTGGCCTCTGTTTTCAAAATCATTTTCAGGTGCAAGTCGGAAAGGGGAATGACATTCTGTTTTGGTACGACAAGTGGTTATGCAATGTTCCCCTTAGGCAGAAATTTCCGAGGCTGTTTACTCTTTATGTTAATAAAAGAGGAAAAATTTCCGAGTTTGGTTGTTATAATGCAGGGGATTGGTGCTGGGATATTCAGTTGAGACGGAATTTATTTGACTGAGAGATCGAGCAGTGGGTTGAGCTTTTGTCATTGTTAAGTACTATGTGTCCTCGGAATGACGTGGAGGACAGCTGTGTATGGACAGGAAATGGTGAAGGTGCTTACTTGGTTAAGTCTTGCTTTAAACTAATGTCAGGAGGATCTGAGGTGGAACCGATTTGGTCCAAGCTAGTTTGGATTGGTTTTGTGCCACCTAGAGTGGAGGCGTTTATTTGGAAGGTATTGCATCAAAAAATGGCGGCGGTCAAGTCTGAAATTATAAAGCGCGGTGTAAATGGGACTGTGGATATTTTATGCCCGTTATGTGGTTTACATACAGAGACGGTTTCTCACTTGTTTTTTTCTTGTAGAATTGCATGGGGCTTATGGGTGAGTTTCTTTTGGTGTCGGAATGTTTTTTCTGTTATTCCAGATAATCCTACTGTCCTCTTATCTTCATGGGGCAGCTTAGCTCCAAAGTCTTTAATTTGGAATTTTATTCCGGGAGCTGTATTGTGGTCTATATGGAAGTGTCAGAATCATTTGGTTTTCGAGAAAGGAAGACTTGATCGTACCCATTTGTTCTTTATATCGAGATTTAGAGTGACAGCTTGGTTTTCAGCGAAATTTCTGAATTTTCCAGTTCTCCTAGACTGTCTAGTCGCTGATCCGGCGTTGGCTGATTCTTGTACATGGTCTAAGAAGTCAATCTCCTCATCGGACTTGTGGAGTCCCCCGTCCCCTGGTTATTTTAAAGTTAACGTGGATGGAGCAGAGAGCAGAGACTGGAAAAGTAGTGGGACTGGTGGAATCCTTAGGGATGAGAAGAGCAAGATGCTGGGTTCTTTCTCCATTCCTGCTGGTCCAGTCCCGCTTATTTTAGCCGAGTTGAAGACCATTCAAACTGGTTTAGCTTTCTTTTTGGGGTCAGAATGGGAGGGAAAGGATCGGTTAATTATAGAGACAGGTTCGTCAATTACAGTAAATTGGATTAAGAATCCGGGGGCGTGCCCTGTTTTGTTTTCCCAATTAGTTAAGGAAATTGTAAATTGTGTGTTGGATCGTAGTGTTATTATTAGGTTTGTAAAGAGGTGTCAATTGGGAGGCTGACAGTTTGGCCAAGGAGTGTATAGGATAATTTGTTTGTACCTTTGTTTGGGTATTTTATAGTTGTTTAGAGGGTTGCGATTAGGATTATGGTTGACTATGGTTGTAATTTCCTGGTGATGTATGTGGTGTAATTCCTTTTTTAGCAATAAAATGTGAGGCACTCTTTTCCTCCTTCCAATGTCCGTTGAGTTACTTTGTAGCTTGATGGTTATGAAGGGGTTTTTTTAATGAGGCCTCTCCTTTCTATAAAAAAAAATGTTTATGCTTGGGGCCACTACTCTCTACCACTCATTTGTCCCAAAAGAAGTAAAAGATTATTTGTTGACTCATGCACAGTCAATGCCTAAATGCATTCTGATTATGCCTGAAAGATGCTGTAGCTGCTACATTGCTGTAATTATCTAATTTATATTTATTTCAGCTTTTGACTTGGCTTCTTTTATTTTTAACCATATTATTTTGTGTAGTTTAAATTACTGTTTTTGCATGAAGCTCCCTTTAAAACATGCCATTTGTATCCAAACTGTAACCTTTTTAAATTGATATATGGTATGAGCAGGTTTGTGAGAGGCTTGGAATTGATAAGAAAAAGAGCTATTCTCGATTCTTTAACATGTTCTCTCGGTTTGGGATGCACCTGCAAGCTGAAAGCCTTAAAAAAACTACTGCTTATCGAGTTTGGACATCTGGGAATTCTTATTGTAAATCATCAAATGCATTTTTGACTAAATCAAATGATACGAATGATGACAAGCAGATTTCTAGTCTTGATTGTGGCCATTCAGAAGTGCCTGATGAATCGAACCAGAATCTTATAGAATATAATCCTTCAACATCTGCAGTCGATACTCCTGTGAAAGTGAATGATATGGAAAATGATACTGAAATTTCCTGCAGCTCCCTTGGAGAAACTAACAATATTGTTTTATATTCAGACAACGTGCAAAGGCTTCCAAGTGAGCAAAGTAATACTGCCCAGGATGCAGAACTTGATTTAGTTATGACAGAGAGCCAAATATGTGCTTCTCCACCAAAACCAATAGGTCTTGATTTGTTGAAGTCATCTGACTCCGGGTCTTATCAGACATATTCAAGTCAAGTTCTGACTGCTGATGGTGCTCGAAGGGAGCAAAGAATACTTGGACGTTTACAGGTATTTTTTTATGCCACCACTTGGATGAAGCAATGTTTTCAAGGGTGCAAGGCGCACTATAGGCGCTTAACCCTTATATTGCCTCAGGCGCAAGCCGCAAAAAGAACGCTAGCCTAAGTGAAGTAAAGCACAGTATGTATGTGTGAGTTTTTTCTAATATATATATATATATAAACTCGAAAGTGGAGTCTAATTTATCTACAAAACATGCAATTTTTTATTGGTCAATACGCATGATTTCCCTATGGTCGATGTTTGTTGAATACTCAAATATTACGAAGTATAGAACTTGATATTGTAGCCTATTACTAGTAAAGGTCTATCAAATGAAAAAGTGAAAAAAAAAACTTAAAAGAAATTCAATCAGGCAGCTTTTTTATGTCTATTGCCTTGAGAAAAAGCGTGCATCAAATGGGCTTTCCTGAAAGGGTCTTGAGGCACTTTTGTTGAATGATGTTGAGGCAGAAGGTGCAGGCATGCCTCGGCATACGCCTTGACAACACTAGACTGGAGGCTTATATTGGGATCTGTGTTACATAAGCTATTCATGTTCCTTGGTACCCATATCAACCCCTCAGTCTGACATATATTAGGAATTGATTATGCGGGTATGATCCTCCAGAAACATGAAAAACTAAAAAAAATTGAGTGTACCTATGTCAGAGATATGCCCGTGTTTGATACTCACCCCCAGCCTGGGTAACATAGTTTGAGATTACAACCTTGTTTCCCATTCATAATATTTTCCAGAGATACAAATATAATTTTAGTTTCCTTGTGCAGGATGAGAAGTTTCTTTTGAGAGCCGAATTGTATAGAAGGCTTGTGGAACTTGAGAAGGACAAGAGCACAAAATTGGATAGGAAGACAGTTGATCGATTGTTAAAGAAGCTTCAGCAACAAGGGCACTGCAAATGCGTGCACATTAATGTGCCTGTTGTGACGAATTGTGGACGAAGCCGTATTACTCAGGTGGTTCTGCACCCATCTGTTGAAGCTTTAAATCAAGAACTGATAAGTGAAATTCATGACAGATTGAGATCATTTGAAATGCAAGTCCGTGGCCATGGAACATCGAAGCTGAAAAGCAATGATTCAATTCCTGTATTAGATGGTGTCCAGAGAACTCAGGGCCATGTTGATTCAGATGCCAAAGCTGCTAAATCAGAAGCCATTCGTGCCAATGGTTTTGTGCTGGCAAAAATGGTTCGCTCAAAACTGCTACATCGGTTTTTATGGGGATTCTTGAGTAGTTTTCATGGTTGGGATGATGATTTATCACTTGACAAACACCTGCATGATCAGAAAAATCTTCATGGTTCATGCATTTTATTTTCACTGGAAGCAGCCATAAAAGCTATCCCACTTGAACTTTTCTTACAAGTTGTTGGAACTGCTCTGAAGTTTGACGATATGATTGACAAGTGTAACAAAGGCTTTTGTCTTTCTGATCTTCACATTGAAGAGTATAAGCTTCTAATGGATACTCAGGCAACTGTAAGACTTTCTTTGCTCATTGACATCCTACGGCGCTTGAAGGTACAATTACTTAGCCAAATTTCCATTAGGTTAAATGGTTAATCATGTGGGAATATATCATTCTCTGGCAATTTTGTGTCATTAATGTATTCACCATGCTTTCTTTTTTGAATTCATTTAGTTGTTTTTCTATGAATAATCTGGGTTGTATTCTACCCAATTATGTGATCAACATATTAGTGGCTTTTATTGTAGGGCAATTGTGGCTGCTTTAAGTTATTGATCCTAGAATGTAAATTTTAGCATTTGGGCTCAAGCCTTGAACTTAAAATAAGTGGTAGCTGCTCTGGAAGAATGCCTTATTTGTAGTTATTGTTGTAATTGGTTTAATGTTATATTGATGGTTGAAATATCTGCTTGAAGACTTCCCTTTTTTCTTGTCTTCTTCCATGTATCTGTTTGTATGAACGTAGGTTATTAGGAATATAATGATAGCAAAGTTTTGTAGGCATTAGCAGAATTTAAATTTTTAATGGATGAATATAATGGTAGTAATTTAAATTATTCTTTCTGGATTAGTTTCTCTCTATGCTTCTGTATCGTAGATTACTGTTTCTTCGACTGACATTATTTGATGATGTAGTTGATTCGGCTGGTACCTGATGAATGTTCAGATAACAGATTAAAGGTACCACATGCCAATTTGACCCATGCTATGGAGCTTAAACCTTACATAGAGGAACCACTGTCATGGGTTGCCACATCTACTTCTAAATCTCTTGATCTTCGTCCAAGAATCAGGCATGATTTCATCTTGTCTAATAGAGAAGCTGTTGATGACTATTGGAAAACTTTGGAATATTGCTATGCGGCTGCTGACCCAAGAGCTGCTTTACATGCATTCCCTGGATCTGCTGTTCATGAGGTATGCGCTAGACAGAAATTTGTAGACTAAAAATTCATGGTTTATGTTAATATTTGAACAAATAAAACATAAAAGTCATTATTTTGAATTTTAATTGTAAGAAAAGATTGTAAAAATGGGAGATGTCCTTGTTGAATTTATTAGATTTCATCTCATTTTAAAAATTTACAATGTCAGCATGATGCTACGTTCAGCTGTCACATCAGGTATTTAGTGTGTGTATTATGATGATTAAGAAGAATTTCCTATTTATAATTGTAGTTAATTCTCGTGTAGGCTATAAGCGTTCGACAAGGTTTGACAACTTTTTTGTTTTTTATAAGTAGTATACGGTGTTACTTGCATCTATATCCATTGTAATAGCCTGCTATGTGAAATGTGAAAGCAAACTTAGATATTGGTTATTTCAGGTTTTCCTTAATCGATCATGGGTCTCAGATCGAGTTATGACTGCTGTTCAGCGTGCTGAGCTCCTAAAGCGAATTGTGAAGGATGACTTAAATGAAAAACTTTCATATAGAGACTGTGAAAAAATTGCAAAGGATCTTAGCCTGACCTTACAGCAGGTAAATTATATTTTGCTTAGCGTTATTTGATACAACCAACAACTCCCTGTCATCCTACGATACCATTAGTGTCAAATCAGCTTTTAGCATTTGTTTGCTTTAAACCAATTTATTTTTTATTTACAGGTGCTTCGTGTATATTATGATAAGCAGCAAAAGCGCCTAAATAGATTTCGGGGTTTTCCAAATAGCAATAAAGAGCAGTATCAACGACAAAGATATAAACGGTCATCTAATCGGAAAAGAAAGAGAGGCTCAACCGCGAAATCAAAAGGAAGTATAAAAGCTGATGCAAGATCCATACAATTAGATGTAAAGGAGGTTGCTGCATTACCTGATGGCATTGATGGATTAAAAGACGACTATTCTTTAGCTCCAGTTGGATCTGCTGTCTCTCAAGCGAATCAGGAAGCTGATAATGTTGAAGCCATGGACAAGCTAGGGTCACTTGAAGAAGACGAGGAGTGTGATTCCTTAATTAGCCAGAGTTTCTTTCCGAAAATGAAGTCAACACGTAAAAAAAGAATATCATGGACCGATAAAGCGGACAGGTAGAATGTAGTAATATATTCTTTAGGGTGGGTGCAAATGAGAAACAAACTGAAATAGGGTAGTGAGTGTTGAGGGTGTGAGTTTGGGGTTTCAGGGTTGTTGTATGAAGGTTTTTGTTGTGTGTTTCGGTTTGGTTGTAATTCCTATGTTTGGTAATAAACTAAGGGCACCCTTTTCCCCTTCCTTTGGTTATTGTGTTTTTCAACACAATAACTAAGAAGGGGGTTTTTAACGGGGCCCAATTGCTATTAAAAAAAAACTGAATAGAGACTGGACTTAGGAGCACAATTTTTTTTTTTTAAAAAAGATAGATCTATTATATTATTTTATTTTGATCCTGAGTAACTTATCTACAACTATTGATTCTTGCCTAGCAGGAATTTTATTACTACGTTCTAAGATGTTTTTTGGGACCACATGATTAGGAGTTTTTATTTTTTTATTTTATACATTTGGTGGTAGTCTATCTGGTTTAGTTCATGATATATATAGTTTAGTGACTGTCCGAAGTGGAAGATGTTTACAGTATATTGTGGTTCCTCATGTTTCACATTAATTTGTTCAATGCAGGGAATTGGTAACCCAGTATGCAAGGTACCGTGCTGCCATGGGGGCAAAAATTCACCGTGTAGATTGGACTTCACTTGCTGGCCTACCAGCACCTCCTCATGCTTGTGCAAGAAGAATGGCATCCCTAAATAGAAGTGAAAAATTTAGGAAAGCATTAATGAAGCTATGCAATATGCTTAGTGAACGATTTATGAAGCATCTTGAGAAAAGCCAAAATACGTCGTCTGACAGTAGTGATTGCAGACTTCTTCGATTTCCAGCAATTCAATTCTCCTATGGAATCGAACATGGGGAAGATGCAGACTTTGAGGTGGAAAGATGGGATGATTTTGACGACAGAAAAATAAAAAGTGCTTTGGAGGATGTTCTTCGTTTTAAACAGATTGCCAAACTGGATGCCTCTGCAAGGGTCGGATCGATATCTGCTGAGTGGTCAAGTATAAACATGAATTCGGAGGTTTATGTAATTCCTTATCTTTAGGGCCCACATATATGTTTTGTTCCATTAGTTCTCCAAAGGTTTCATAAATTCATCAAATTGGAGTTGGAAAGATTTTATTGTTTTTCGTCAGTGGGCATTCTTTCCTGATATTTGGTATATTATAATTATCTTGTTTATAAGTACTCTGAAATTGTTGTGTTCTTTCTTGTTTCCTAGCAGGACCAACAAGGATCTGAAATGGTTCTGGCAACCGCCCAAGATGAGTATATAGGAATGCCTGGTGCTGGTCGACGCAAAGGCTCTATCCGAAGTTCAGAACACCATTGCTTTCGTCAAAAGCTAGTTAGGCTTTGGAATGTAGGAAATGGCGTTGGCAGACAAGTACACGAATCGTTGGCTGTTTCTAATGCTGTTGAACTATTTAAGCTTGTTTTTTTAAGCATATCTACAGCACCACAATTTCCAAATTTGCTCTCAGAAACTTTGCATCGTTATTCAGAGCATGATCTGTTTGCAGCTTTTAGCTATCTTAGAGATAGAAAAATTATGGTAAATATCAATTGTACTTACAATGTTTTTTTTGTTATAGCAATCTGTGCAATTTACATAGAGGTCTTATTGTTTTGTACTTAGTAAGGAGCGTACTTCTTGATCTTATGAAATAAGATGCATTAGGATTAAATAAAGATCTATACTCACCACTTTTTCTGGAGTTCCTTTTCATTTCAGTCAATCTTATGGTATTTGAGAAGATATCCTTGGAGCCTTGGTGATTGGTTTTGTCAACTTCAGACCATCCATGAATTTCTCTAGAGCTATTTTTCATTTTGACAAAATCTGATGATGTTCACAAAACCATCTTTGGCGTCTAAATAGTTAGCTTTTGGTGCCAATTCTCTCTTTAACTTGAGCAGTAAAGGGATGGGTGGTCGTATTTTTTATCTTATTAATCAAGTTAAACGGTGTCATATTAGTCTGCTGTTTTCTGGTCTTTATTTGGTGGGAACTCTAGTATCGTAATTCAACTTCGTCTTACATACCCTTGGTCACTGTGCGAGCTCCTTGAACTGCATTATTTCTTATCTTCTCTCTAATGTGATGCTATCCATTCAAATTTCACTCATTTACCTGTATTTTTCTGATTCTTTATTTGCTTCAACTTTTGGCAGATTGGTGGTACTTGCGGTCAACCTTTTGTACTTTCTCAACAGTTCTTGCACAGTATTTCCAAGTCTCCATTTCCTTGCAATACAGGCAAGAGAGCAGCTGATTTTTCTGCTTGGATTAGTGAAAGAGAAGAAGATCTTATGGAAGGGGGAATTAATCTGACTGCAGATTTGCAGTGTGGTGATATTCTCCATTTGTTTTCTCTGGTTTTTTCTGGTGAACTTTCTCTTTCCCCATGCTTACCAGATGAAGGTGTTGGAGAAGCTGAAGACTTGAGAAGCTTTAAACGTAGAGCTGAGGATAACGAATTATGTGATGCAGATAAGGCTAAGAAATTAAAATCCATTGCAGAAGGTGAGTTTGTTTCTCGACGAGAAAAGGGATTTCCTGGCATCATGGTATCCGTGTATCGCACAACATTTCCAACAGCCACTGCTTTAGAATTGTTCAAGGATGAAGAGACATTCAACCCTGAACTTTCGAATGATGAAAGTTCAACTAATTTGGACCATATAAAGGAAATGCTTGAGGTCAATAGTAATGTCACTGTAGCATCAAAGTCTAGTGAGTCACCTTGGGAAGATATGGCTAGTTACACCAAGCATCTGTTGTCAAATCCTTCTGATGAAGGACTAGGTGGTCACTTTGGTCCTGAGATCATCAAGGCTGTTTGCTCTGAAATTCAGAAGGCTGGGGACCAAGGTTTAAGCATAGAAGATGTTTTTAGTCTTGTAAAATTCCAGGTATTTCTTTTGTCATTTTTGTACTTGTGTCTCATCTTTATACTTACGAAAGAGGATATATTTATGTAACTTTCAGTTCATGATGAGATGTTCCTCTTGCAGGAGAAAAGACACCTGAAATTATCATTGATACGCTCCAAGCATTTGGACGAGCTATCAAGGTTGTACACCATTGGAATATAAATTGTGTATTAGTATGTAATATTTTTCTCAAACATGTATTACCTATTAAATTATTAGTAGGAAAATGTTAAAACAAATCGGCAATGGGGCATCAATGACTTCATCTTTGAGACATTTGCTAGCACCAGTACATCTTGAGAATTGTTAATTGGCTGGTTTTAAATAGCCCTTGGCCTATGGAACAAAGATTTGTCCTGGATACCTACACTAAGGTATTCATGGTGATCGTCAAATATATGTGATACAGCGAGATAAATTGCAATAGAATGAAGACACAGGGAATGAATTACCTGATCTTGATGGTCCTAGCAAACCCTCTCATTCTGACATTCTGAATTCTTTAATTTGGGTAGAATGCAATAGAAACTAAGACAGAGGGAATGGGTCATCTGATCTTAATGGTCCTAGCTAACCATTTCATTAATGTCATTCTGAATTTGGAATGAACCACATTTCCTCAAGTAGGATTCAAACGTACGACCAGTCAATTGTATTGCTTTTTTGCAATAGTGATTATTTTTAGGGAGGAGGAGACAAAAGCACTGCTTGGTAGTTTATACTTTCTTCAAAGCACTAGACAATTTCTTAACTTTTCATTACCAAATTCTTGTGCATTGATGTTGTGATCGCTTTCATACAGGTCAATGCTTATTACTCTGTTCGTGTCGTTGATGCTTTATACTACTCCAAGTATTTTCTTGCCACAATTTCTCGTTTCCATCAAGATCTTAAACCATCTTTGTCACTAACATGCCAAGAAAAGGATGGTGGCAACTTGGTCCTTCAGCAAGAAAATCTGAGTCTTGATTCTGCAATGTTATTGGGGAGCAGTGATGCGCACAAAGTTACTATTCTTAATCTTCCAGAAGAGCATCCTTTACCTTCCAATGACATTCCTACTAGCAATGCAAATGAAAGCTGCATGTATGGTAAAGTTGGTTTATCAAAAGGGAATGGTGGGGGTATGATTTATAAGCCATTTTCAGGTGAGCGGTTGGTGCCTATATTGCCTTGGGTGAATGCAGATGGGACCATCAACAAGTCCGTCTACAATGGATTTGTACGCCGTGTTCTTGGTACTGTGATGCAAAATCCTGGGATATTGGAGGTACTGGCTTTTCTGTTCATATTAATTTAATGTCATGAATTTTTTAAAGCAAATGATGAACAAGAATTTCGTACTTTGAAGTGATATGAACTTTTAGAACTGTTTTTCTTTAACTTAATAAAAAAAGCCTTTTTAACAATGTCAGCAACCTGTTGTAATGCAGAAGAACTTGGGAGCTTGACATGAATTCAGTTAGTTATTTTTTTTAATAAAATTTAACATTCAGTTTCTGAAGGAAAACTTGTTTTTATCAAGTTTTAACAGTTTGGTTCACTTGGTTATTTCCCAGTTTTTGGATTTTCTAAAGGGCTTTCAACTTTGCAATTATTTTTACAAGTGGTGTTCTCCCACATATCTTTAACTTTAGCTTTCTTGTGGTCCGAGTTGAGCCTCTTCGCCAATAGTCAATTGGTTTTAGGTTGGATACTTAACATTCCGTAAGTTCTTCAGTTCTATTATTACCCTGTATGAGGTTTTCAACATGCTGGCACCTGTTGTTATACACACGAGGAAGTCTTTAAGTGGTTTACCGTAGGTTCTTCTGTTCTATTATTACCCTGTATGAGGTTTTCGACATGCTAACACCTGTTGTGTTACATGAGGAAGTCTTTAAGTGGGGTTATGTCATACCTCTCGAGTCTTGGGTTTTCTGTGGTCTTGGATTCAAGTTGACTCTCCACTTGTCAATTGGTTCAAGTTGAATGCATAACAATTCTTTTGAGTGTAGTTATGATGACTTTGGACTATTTCAGAAATTAAATAACAAACTTGGAATCAACTGAAACAAATGGTTTTTACCTTTGTTGAATTGAAGTCAAACCGAAGATTAAGATTAAAAGATTCAATTTGTTTGTGTTTTCTCCTTTCTAATTTTCCCATATTTTGGACAACCCTTTTTCTGGGCAGTTTGCCCATTGCTTTGGTGGTGTGTGCATATGGAGTTGGCTTTCTCATGGTGGGGTGTTACAAAAAATGTGTTTTTCTGTCATATGCTTTTCTGACTTCTTTTTGTTCTCTTCAATCACTGAACCAGGATGATATCATCCGCCGGATGGATGTACTAAATCCCCAGGTATGCTGTTATATTTTCCTTCTCTTCAGGTTAGATAAGTTGATTGTAAGGATACAACTGTGGTTTTTCTGTTACTGTGCGCAGGTTTATGTGGTTGGAGGAGTTTTTAAGTTTTATGTATGCAGTTTGGTGTAATGGTTAAATCTTATGTAATTTTCAATATTAATAAAATTTTTAAGGCACTCTTTTTCTCCTTCCGTTGATTAAGGAGCTTCCTCTCAAGATCTATTAATCAAGAAGGGGGTTTTTAATGAGGCCTTTAATTCCTATAAAAAAAAGGTTAAAGGCGGAAGCTTGTGGCCATTATGTTGAATGCCTTGCTTCACCCCGAGCGCTAAGATGGGAAAATGGATAATTGATGCTCATCATATAGTAAACGAATTAGGTTTTCGGACAAAAATATTTTGAACAGTTAGACCCGAATTTTTCTGCCAACTTGCAATCATGGAACTTCCAATATGGATTTTGGAACTCTCTTGTTTTTTGACTTCTGATTTTACTTCGTCATGGTGGCGAAGTGAGCACCTTGGAGGCATACTTACCCCCCATCCCCAATGCACACACAAAGAACACGATAAGAGATAATAGCCAAATTTATATATTTATATGTAATTGCCTTGCTTTTATCTATCAAACATGTATCGAGATCACGATATTTTGTTATGCATAGAACCAGTAATATTTGCCTTGTTAATATGCTTGTTTGACATGAAAGTAAATTTTAAAGCACATCTCTTTAACTTTCTGTAGAGTTGTAGAAAGCTGCTGGAATTGATGATATTGGATGGACACCTCGTAGTGAAGAAGATGCTTCAAACGGCAGGTACCGGTCCTCCTGCCCTTCTGGAAACCCTAATTGGGAGTAGCTGTAGAAAATCAACGTTGGTATGCCGCAGACATTTCTTTGCAAGCCCTACAAGTACTCCTTTTCTGTAAGAATGCTGAAACTGGTTTCTGTAAATAAAGACCATAGATCCCACAGGCAGCATTGGTTAGAATCTGAATTTTGTTCTTTGCTCGTCATCGTGTTGAAGCAGAGCTGTATGCTCGACAACGATGATTTGAAGTTATCATCACAGATGCGATGCATGATTATGAACTGAATAGTGCAATATGTATGTTGATTGAGAATTTGTATTATGTACATCAAACAGCACCATAATATAAGAATTATACCCATTTGCTTTCAATTGAGAATTTGAATGCTGTGGATGGTTAATTTGATCTTTGTAATGTGGTAAGGAATGAAATTAAAGGAAAATAAACATTTCTATTGTAGTTCTGGACTCGATAAACCGGTATCCACAATGTAAGCCAAGAACTCAAAATCACAATTGAATTTTCAAAACAGCAATCCTATCAATGCTTTAATTTTCAACAGACAACAATGTTTGGTCTTATTTATCATCACTCCTTGTACCATCAGACTGGAAACCTGAACACCTGAATCTGTCTTCTAGCTTTACATCTCTCATTCAGATTAAACTACTACATATGTTTTGAGTGGGTGGAACCTTGGGTCTATCAATGCTTGAATAGGAGCGATAAATGTAACGCCTCTCATAAATATATATTGGTAAGAGATTATATTCGGAAATTAGGACAAAAAACCAAGATTAAATTAAACCGTTTCAACTGATAAGGTACAGCCAAACACAAGGGCATTATCATAAATGTCACACGTAAGTAGTTACTATGAATGAGGAAATAGTTTTATGGAAAGAAAAAGTTTGTTGCTCTGTTTTCTCGGGGTCATTTGGGAATAATTATGGAAGTGATTTTGGCAAAAAAATTCTGTTTAAAATGCAAAAGTTTTTCCAAACAACTCATTTTCAGTCAAAAATTCATGTTTGAAACGTGATTATTGACTCAAACTAAAAAGCTGTAAAAACGGTGCTTTTGCATTGAAAAAAGATTGTTGAAAAAGGTCATTTGGAGAAGTTTTCTCAAACGAAGCTTCGTATACAAGAGAAAATTAGACATATTAAGGTGAGCTAAAATTACAACAATAGGGTCCTCCTAGGACTTACAACATAAGTCCTACTAGATGCTTGCCTACTTAGAACTTATAGTAACTTTTATTCAGATAATTCTAAGAATACAAGTTTCATATAAAAAATTAGGATTTATACGGCTACATCCTGCACTCCCCTCAAGCTAAAGAGAGTATATATTCTATAATCCCACCTTGAATATAAATCCCATCAAAGTTTACTCTTAGAAGAGTTTTGGTGAAAATATCAAGTTGCAGTTGAATACGAACATAGCTTAGTTTGATACTCATTAATGACTTTTTTTTTTTTTGAAGTGAAGTGTCTATCGATTTTTACATGTTTAATTCTGTCGTGATGAACATAATTTTTAACAATTCTTCATGGTAGATTGATCCAAATCTCATTCTTATTCATAATATTTCAACCAACAAAGTTGTGATAGTTCTGCAGCAACAAATTACTATCCAAAAAAATTATTATAAGCATTCTCCAACATCATTATCCCATCATCCCTGTAATCACTATCCTTCAGCAACAGTGGGTATTTCATACCTAAAGGAGACGCCTCATGTTTAGACCAGGCTTCAACTGATCTACTATAAAATCTTCCCTCGTTCTAAAATAAAATGGACAAACAAGATTCAAAATCTACCTCCACAAGCTTGTGAAAAACCAAAACAACTTATACGTGTAACAATTGATAATTATTACAATTATTCTTGTGACGATTAATTCAGTGTGGAATTGTACATTGGTTTACAATCACCTAGCTCACATCGCACCATATGAAAAACCGCACTATGGTTTAAAGTACAACCTCCAAAGATGGACATTGAAGAAACTAACAGTTCATCTACCAAGCTAGAACTGGAAGGAAATCGATCAAAGAACCACAAACGACACCATTCGACTCTGACTGAGTTCCTTCTACACCTGCAATTGTTTCAGCAATCAGCAAGTGCAATAAGCTGATAGACTACACCAGGTTCGGCTAACGTGCTAGTGTCTCCGAGTTCATCTAACTGTCTGGATGCGATTTTCCTCAGAATCCTCCTCATTATCTTTCCACTTCTTGTTTTCGGGAGGCCAGGTGCCCAGTGTATTTTGTCGGGTGCTGCAAATGCTCCTATCTGTGTCGCAAATGGATAATCTTTAGACTACTAGATTATAAAATTCAGACCAAAGATAATGCAGATGTTGTTTTCCTCGTCATGATTCTCAAAGAAGAGTTTCAAAGTTCAAACCTGATTTCGCACTGCGAGTATAAGGCTCTTCCGGAGTTCTTCACTGTAAGAAACACCCTCCACAATAGTGACAAAAGCATATATGCCCTGTCCTTTAACCTACCAGCAACAAAAAAAATGAAAGTTATGACTTACTAACCACAAGCATATCTCTTGGCTAATTGGTACATAATTCTTAAATAGATACACCAGACCACTTGAATACCTCATGCTCAACACCAACCACAGCAGCTTCTGCACACTGAGGATGAGAGACTAGAGCAGATTCCACTTCAGCTGTGCCGATACGATGTCCACTGCAAAAATTAAGATCGCATCATTCACAGGCAATAGGAAAGAGATGGTTTGTTTATTTAACTGCTAAGGAACGTGAAGACGTTCAACAAGCTGGCTGTTTTCCAGATAACAGCAGAACATATCATACCTAACATTGATAACATCATCAACTCTTCCAGTAAGCCAGTGGTACCCATCCTTGTCCCTGAAACAAATAAAACAGTAACTTAATGGTAGTCTCTGGGTTAGAATTCCATCAGCGGATAAACATAGAGAGATGCATATTAAAATCCAATATTCTGCACAAATAAAAATCAATTTTCTCGTTGCCTTCGACTGTTTACAGGAAACTCAACTCAATCTTTGCAAGGTTTCTTTGGGGTGGTGGAAAAAATGTCAATAGAATTCATTGGATTAATAGGGCAACTGTGTGTTTGCCGAGAGATGAAGGTGGTTTGGGCGTTCCAGATTTAAATGTCATGAACAGAGCTTTACTTGGGAAATGGATCTGGAAGTTTGGTGTTGAGAGGGATTCATGGCGAAAGAAGGTATTGTGTTGCAGGTATAATCTAGATGAGAAGGAATTGACCGTTTCCAATGTTAATTATCCCCTAGCCTCTTGGATGTGGAGGGGAGTGGTAAACAATTTTATAAAGGATGACAATGTTGGGGGTTGCCTTTGATCTCACTTCCATTACAAAGTTGGAAGAGGGGATGCTATTTCCTTTTGACATGATATTTGGCTGTCCGATGTTCCTTTGAAGACCAAGTTTCCAAGGCTCTTTGCATTGTCCAGCAATAAAGAGGGTAAGGTGGCTGAGTTTGGTTTTGTGGTTCATCTGGTTGGGTTTGGGACATCAAATTGAGAAGGAACCTAGCAGATTGGGAGTTGGATCTTTGGCTTGTTTTAATCGTCGGATTTAAGCCTTGTTGTCCTAGATTTTTCAGAAGATGACCGATTGATGTGGAATGGTAATGGTGAAGGTGTTTACACGGTAAAATCCTGTAGGGAGCTAGTGTCATATAAAGGAAGCTTTGAAAAAAAAAGCTGGAACACCTTTGTTTGGAAGGGTTTAGCCCCTCCAAGGGTTGATTTCTTTGTTTGGCAGCTGGTTCACGGGAGGGTAGCGGTTAGGCCTGTAAATGAACTGAACGTTCAGCGAACCGTTCATGAACCGTGCGGCGGAAAGTTCGTTTATGTGCGTTTATTTATTAAATGAACGAACATGAACAAGATTTTGTGTTCGTTTAATTAAATGAACGAACATGAACATAGGTCTCGTTCGTTCATTTACGTTCGGTTATGTTCGTTCGGTTATGTTTGTTTATGTTCGTTCGGTTATGTTCGTTTATGTTCGTTTATTTATGTTTAACCCAATCTTCTTAAATCAATTTTGGTGACCAATTTGTAAGTATCTTAAAATATTAATTAATCTGATATTCTGAAAACCAACTCCATAATTAACCCAATTTTATTGGGAAAACCCAACAATATTAACATGGTTTAGTTCTTTTTGAACGATCCATAAGCTGCATACCCAGCACCGTCACATCCACTTCGTCGGAACCCTATGTGACTGCGCCACCAGCAATACTTATGTTCATGTTTTCGAGTTGAGTTGGGCTAACTTTGAAAGTTTTCGAGTTCGAGTCGAGCTCGAGTATTGCTGAGCTCGAAAATGTTCGTTTCTTGTCGTTTACACCCCTAGTTAGGGTCTCCAATGTTTATGTTCGTTTATGTTCGTGTTCATTTATGTTCGTGTTCGTTTATGTTCGTTTATTTATTAAATGAACGAACATGAAAAAGTTATATTCCTTAATAAACGAACATGAACAAAAAAAATTTGTTCGTTTATGTTCGTGTTCGTTTATGTTCGTTTATTTATTAAATGAACGAACATGAACATACTTCCGTTCGTGTGCGTTCGG